AGGCATAATTTGAGTCGTAGAATTGAAATATAGAAAAAAAATTGGTATGTTATTCCAGAAAAAAGTCCGATTTTGTGTCAAAATACCCATGTTGAACAAAGCAAAAGCTAGTATGTATAAATCTAATCGCCTAAGTCGCGCTTTTGAGACATAAAAAAAGGTAATTTGAATTTCATCAATCGGCCCAAGTAGAATGGGAGATATAGAATTGTCCCTTTTTTTTTCGCTGTGCACATAGAGATCATCTGTACATGAATTAAAATATTGTTACAAACTTTGTACATATATAAATAATTTAAGTGAAACTATATGTGAAATGGTTGTATTTTTCCTGTATAAAGAATCTAAAGAGATGATGCTCTACTTGTAAAATAAGAATACAGCGAAAAGTCTATTTAACAGTAAGTAAATAGCTATCTCACTTTATTGATGAGATATTACACAGCTGGCAATGGTATTGGCAGCTAGTTTTTGTCGCCAAACTTGGTGACATTTTGGTCCGGTTCGTGCAACACCGTAATAGGTATTGTAATTGAATAACTGGACTTGATTTCATATGTAACTGCATGTGGCCCTCATATGTTATCGAGGAATTTCGAGAAGTACTAGACATTTCTCAGCAGCCAGGTGAAAACTGTATGAGACCAGAGAGAACATCTACTCTCATTTGTTAATTTGATATCTCCTGCTTAACTTCGTTCCTTAGATGCACTTTGCATTGCATTCCTTTTAACATTCTTACTAGTTAAGTTTAACTACTGCGATACTGTGAAGAGTTGTACGACTATTTTTGTGGAAAATTCCAGAACCGTAAAGTGTTACTTTTTGGAAAATACACTTTATCAAGCTGTAATCAGTTCGTGTACATTCAATGTGTTATGAACCTGTACGCACGAAACAATTTTTTTGGTGTCAGGAGTGGGATTGAATGCCAGTGGAGCAACAAAGATAGCTGGTGACTGCATTTGTAGCATTCCAAGAAAAGATGGAAGGGGCCACTAACTCCATTAAGAAGAGATGAAACAGAACAAGAATCTGATAAAGAAGATATGTAAGGAGCCCAAGAAAAGATTGAAGGAGTGGCCAACTTTGTTAAAGAAGAGATGGAGGCTGGTCAAGCGGAAATGAAAAGGGAAATTACTGTCATAATAAAAACCAAATTCGAGGCTATAGAAGGCAGAATAGACATGGTTGAAGATAAAGTTAGAGAACTTCAAGAGAGAGTTTATCCTGTTGAACAACAGATCAAAGACATAGTTTCTGCAGCTCTTGCCAAGGAAGTTGACAGTTTAAAGAAGTCCTTAACAACAGCTGGTCACAATTCTAATACCTTTAAATTCAAATATATGTTGTCCTACCCCCTCTAAAGCTATCCACATATGATGAAAAGATTTCCTGGCAATGGTACGAGATGCAGTTCTTTGTAGTGGCAAACACAAATGGATGGGATTCCGAAGCTAAATCTCGGATCCAGAGATTATAGAAAGTTCTGAAAATGGTGGATGTCAAGAATTTAAAAAATGCTTTAGTGTATACCATGAAATTTGAGGCAGCCTAATCAACTCGCACAGACTGCCATTCAATCAGAACTACTCAAGTTCAGAAGCCAGTGATCAAGTGATTACTCTTTAATTAGATCAATTTAGACAATTTTATCAGGCAAGTCAGTGCCTTCACACAGAATAGGAGTGACAAGAAACCAACCCTAAAGTACTGGAACTGAGGTGCATATATGAAGGAGCTGCAGAACGCCCCCAAGGCTCGTAAAAGCAAGGATGCAGGAAACAAATTAGTAGCCCTCTTGTGGAGTAGAAGTTGCCAGATAATGAGACGCTTCAATTTAAAGCATTACAGATGTCTGCAGTGAGTGGCAGCAGTAATGAACTCTTTATTATAAGACATATCAATGGAGTTTCATGCAGTATGACTATCAATACCAATGCCAATGTTGTCATCATCTGAAAAGATTTGGCCCAGCATTTAGAAGGACCTCACCTGAGGAATACATCCAAGATCTCCAGGCACAGTTTGAAGTGATGCAGAAATTTGCATGAGAGCGAGTCAACTTGGGAACAATGCATGAAGACCTGATATGACATGAGAGCTACAGGACATCAATTCAATGAAGGTGGCAGTGTGTGGTTATGGAATCCGATATGACAGAAAGGACTTTGTTCTAAAACTACAGTTACCTTGGGATGGTCCTTACACAGTCCTAAAAACAGGATAAATAATGTGGTAGTTTGAATCTGCAAGTAATCAAATTATAAGCAAAAAATTGTTCATTACAACAGGCTAGCTGTGGGATACTGTGAAGAGTTGTTTATCTATTTTTGTGGTAAGTTCTTGAACTGTGAAGTGTTTCTTTTGGGAAAATAAGTTTTTTTCAAGCTATCCTCAGTTCTCAATCGTGTTCAACAAAATTAATTTTCTATGGAAAAAATGGGTTAGGTATAGTTTAGATTAAGCAAGTGTGTATAATTTATAAAAACCTAAATATTATTGTACTTAAATGGGAAAAATGAAGCACATGTTACTTCAAAGAATTTTCTATTACTGCTTAATATGTTGGTACATGATATATATATATATTTTAAAGTAGCTGGTGATTTTTGCTTGGAACAGTGTGACACAACTCATTAAATGTTTGGCAGTAAATTCCTTCAACATCTCTCATAAATTATGCTCTTTTTTCTTCATTTGGGTCAGTCTTCATTGCAAAATCAGACAGTTGCTGTGCCTTTTTTAACAATTGGTTCTTCTATATTAAAGACCCATTATCATGTTCACTATCGCGCTTTCGCCATCTACTGGTGTTATGAGATGATCCAATTCTTCATTTGCCATTTCATGATCATCATCCTAGACTAAATTCTTCAATTTCTGCATCTTTCATATCTAAAAATCATTCATTGCCTTTTGCTTTTGCAATTTTTATATTTTCCTTGGCCTCATTTTCAATCATTAGAAATCCATTAAAATTGTTGATGAATTTATTGGTTCCAAAGGGATTTTAATCATTTTTGTGCAGTGTCTCAAGTCGAATTGCTTCCAAAATGCCATTAGTGCTCATGTTTTCTTTCATCTAGTGCTTTATTTGCAGGGATGTAAACATGCCTGACTTTGAATGTTTTTATGATTTCTTGGCTGGATTTAGGAAGTGATGCTCAGTAAATGGAATAACCTCTACATTTGGATGCAGTACTGTGAAGGTTTCAGCACGGTGTCCTGGAGCATTTATTGAGAGTTAGGAGAACTTCAAAGCTCAGGTTTTGCTGTCCTGAGCAATGTCTGGCTTCTTTCATGAGTGAATTTTCAAACCTATCATTAAAGAGGACTGTCACGATGTGCTGCAGTGTACTGTGTATAATTGAAATTATCGTGCTGGAGAAATTAAATGGAAACAATTATGAAAATGCGTAGACACAAAATCACACTTGGCAAGGATTTACTGTATAGACTTCCATGGTTCTATTGTTATGATAATACATCAAATTATATATTGTCAGAGTTCAATAAACTGATTGAAAGGAGGAAGAAACATATTACAATCACTTCTAACTTTAACTTATCAAGAGAATATAAAATGCATTTTGAATCTGATATTGAGCTTTACTCATTGAAGTTATGCTGTTTCTCTTCTCATCAATTCTAGTGGTGTGTATTTAATTATGACAAAGCACACAAGGGCTATCTGCCTAAGGGGAGGGATGCCTTTGTGGATGACTGGCTCGTATACACGTTACACATGGGGAAAACCACGAAAACGCCCATGCAGCCAGCCCGTTCGCGCTCATCAATTCTAGTGAATAACAACTGTACTGTTACAAATTTTGTACTTAGATAGGTAATTTTAGTAAAATTATAAGTTGAATTGCCATGTTTCTTTTGTATAATGTAACACGAAAAATCTAGAGACAAGCTATGCTGGAAAAGTAAGAATATGTTCATAAAGTGTAACTACTGATTGTACTCTGCGATATTGCAAAGAGTTGAATGACTATCTTTGTGAAAATTTCCAGATCTCTGAAATATTTCCAACCTATCATCGGAGCACTGCAGCAATCTATTACGAACCTACATGCACATAACAATATTTATGACGGCAGTCTTCAAAGTAATTTTGCATTGTTCTGCAACAGGCCTTCAGCTGAAAAAGAATAACACGCAAAATAAAACTGAACACAAGTAGAACATTATTTGGCACTTTTTTAAAATCACAGTTGATATTAAATTGTTTTCTCTGAAAATAAATCTTTAATTTAATCTTAAATAACTTATGTAAGCGATATATCACAAGCTTAATTAGTCACAGTTTTCATAAATAGCATGTATTTACATGCATAGCGGATGTCTTTTTTAATTAGAAGAAACATGACAAGCAAAATTAATATTTCATTTGTTATTTTTGTTGAATGTTGATTTTTTAGTAAAATACTTAGATTGTTTTTGGACAATATTTAAATAGCTTAAAAATAATTATGTGCGCAAATATGTGATTCTCACAATAATATATCGCACAGCATTTATTATGCATGTATTTGCATACATACTGCATGTCTTTCTTAATTAGAAAAGAACATGACAAGCAAAGCAATGTTTCATTCACTGATTTTGTTGAATGTTAATTTTTTAGTAAAATGCTTCAAGATTATTTTTGGACCAAAAAAGTAAATAACTAAAAAATAATCATGTTCAATTATATGTAATTTTCATAATATATATGTGCATAGGTATGTAATTCTCACAACAATGTAGTACACATTTAGTAATAGTCTATCTTAAAATGTTGTGAAAACTTGATTAAAATATATGTGAAAGAATTTCAATTTTTCATTCAAAGCATCATTTAAACAAAATTTGTGATTGAACTTCCTCAGGAATAGCATATATGTGTAAGTTAGTGTGAATTTTATCAAAATGTATTCCTTAGCCATCATTTAGTGAATATTGCCATTTGACTTGATAAAAGAAAATGAGTGGACAATAAACAAGAAGGGTTAAGAATATGTATTAATATTTTTAATGCATTTTATTGTACAAATATGATTACACTAAAGTACAGCTATTTAAATTCTTTTAGTTACCGAGATTGATCTCCTAACATGTCTACAACATCTTCATCAATCTGTAAAGAAAGGAAATGCATAAAAATTACTAATAATCATCCAGCAAAATGATTCAGGATTTTTAAACAACTTGCTTTGGCTGCATTGAATATTTATTACTGGCAAAAAAATTTTTTTTTAGTGTAACTGCTGTGTTTCAACATGTGTTCTGAAGACCAGTTATGTCACAAACTTCCTAACATCTTGAAATTTTCTTCCATATTTCACATCAAATTACAGGAAATCGTTATTTCTTATAATTAAAATATTGTAATCTAAACAACAACAAAAAAAAAAAAAAAAAAAAAAAAAAAGACCGGTATATCTTTAATGAAATTTGTGTATTAGTCTGCCAGCCGTAAGGCTACATTCTAACAAGCTAAACAGACTGCACAAAGCATTCTTCAGATTAGTACGTGGTTTTTAACATATGACAGTCAATATGAAATAACATGTTAATAATAACAGTCAACAATTGAAATTATTGTGTGTCATGAACAATGGTTTTAATCGGAAAAGAGTAACACCGTATTTGTGAAATGAGTTTGTAGTTTTTCAATTAAAATATAATATTATTATAATTAAAGAAATTTTAGTACTTGTTGAATAATAGAATGAATTCTGTAGAATAATTCTTAACTATAGCTTTTCTGAAATAAAAGAAAAATATGTTTTTAAATTATACTATTACGAACATTAGATATCTCATCCCATGAATAAAGATCATATCTAAAACTCCGAATTAGTTCATAAAAATATTAACGCCCTGCAGAAAGTACTGAAAGTCGAATGTTGATTTTGAATCTGAAAATAAAATGAAAACTCAGTCTGGAAAATATTATTATGTATTGTAATTACGAATATTTCCAGTTTTCCAATATGAGAAAAATTATAATATTTGTTAAAGTATTTAAACACACAAAGATATGTGGGCCTGTAAAAATTGACTAGTGAAAAACAATAGAATCCACTGCTTTCTTTAGAAAAGCACTCCAAAGAAAATGATAAACAGAAACCTAATAAATTAAAAGTTAGAATATTTAAATAAATAATTAAAGCATGAAGGCAATCATATTTATATCTGTTTTTATTCACTGTAAGTACAATGAAATAAACAACATTCATTCATTAATTTTAATTAAATCATAAATGAATTTAGCATTTTCTTCAAATATTCACTTAATACAGTTAGAGACCTGAAATCGAGAACTTTGGCTGTTACAGGTTTTGGAATTTTGAGTATTTTATATCATCAGTTAAAATCTAGCAAGATGACATGTAAAAAGTATGAAATTAAAATGCAAAATTACTGTTGACGAAATAATGAAACATTTATGAACATAAGAGAACCAAAATTTACAAAAAAAGCTCAATTCTTCCCTTGTTTAAACATTTCTGTCAAAGTAAGTTGCTTAAGCAGTTTTATTTTTTGTAATAATACTCACTCTTTAATGTTATAGATATATGTAATTTCTTGTTCAGTTACAAAATTTCACAGTTCAAGTCTTGTATTGTTTGTGATCAGGGCGGATTTAGACTTCATGAATCCCCAAGCTATTTGAAATATGGGAACCTTTATAAGTCTGTCACACTATATTTAAATTTTTTAAGGCTCCAAGAAAGCGGCGAGGGGGACCCTAAGCTATAGCTTGTATTGCTTATATGTAAATCTTGCACTGTATGCGATTACGGCAAAGCCTGGAGGGCTGTCTGCCTAAGGGGAGGTATACACTTGTTGAAACACATGGGGAAAACCACAAAAACGCCCATGCAGCCAGCCTGTTTGCTGGATTCGAACCTAGGACCAAACTACCAGTGTTCAGCGATTACCACTCGGCCACTGGTGGGCCCAAGTCAAGAATCCCCACTAAACCGTCGAATTATTTGCATTCTCAAAAACCTCTCTGTCATTTTCTTCATTGTCGGTAGCAATATTTTATGGATTTTAAACCATAGTACAGATTTTGCCATTCGTTTGGTGATTGCATCACAATGGAAATATTCTGTTATATCATCTTCCCTTAGTATAACTTCTCCATATTCTTCACAAATGACATTAATTGGAAAATTGTACCTTCTTATAACATTAAAAATCTATGCCAAAATTAGGTTTTTGTTTTGTCTAATTTTGAAACTGAACTAAGCCAGTCAGTGCCATTTTCTCCCACCAAGGCTGTCATAGAAGGCAAGTACCAAATATGCTTTCACTTAACAGATTCTGTTACGAATAAGAAACTTTGACATAATAAAAAATTAAAACTTTAATAAGACAGCTGTAATAATAGCCTTCAAAAAATAATAAACTCGATCAAACAAGAAAGTTAAGGAAGAATGCAATTTACTATGTTAACCTGAAATTGAATTCTTTAGAATCTAATTCTTCCCAGCTGGTATGCCAACAATACCAAAAATAGTATGAGCAATTACTATGCCTAATTATTTCTCTCTTCTCTGCTGCTATGTCAAAAGAAGAAAAATAATGTGAGCAATATCCCACTCCAGACAAACATGTCTTGAGGATTCACTTATTATTTAGGTCAGATAAAAAAGTGTTAACATCGAATCAAATGCTGAAAGTATGGTCATAAATAACTTTAACTAATGCACTGTCATTGCTCATGCAATGATTCCTGAGTCAGCAAGTGTTTGATAGAGACATGCAGGAATCTCAATTAGTTGGTAGAAAAATCAATTTTATGGCACATCTGCCTTTTACTTTAGTATTAAATGTATCATTCCTAGACTTAATGGGGGAAAAAAATGATGGTGGTCCAGAGTTTTGAATATTAGACATTTTTGGGTTTTAATAGGTACATTACAAAACATACATTTAATATTATAAAGAATTTCTTCATTATTTTACTTTATTAGGAGACTTCAATACCAGCCTTTGAATGCTTACTGTATTGAAAACTGGTAGTATTTAATCAATTTTATTCTGCATTTTCCACAATAAATTGTGATTTCATATTAGTGAAATATATTTTAAGCTGTTAAAAGAAATTCTTACCTCAGGCCAGTGCTCGGTGATGATGTCAAAAAGCTCTTCTTTCACATCACCTTGTATAACAATTTCATCATCACCTGTTACTGATGAACCACATGAAAATTTGTGAGAGAAGAATTTGGCTGCATTCTTTTAAGTCTATGTCTTCAATAAGGGGAGGAAAGAATGAGTTGTGGTAATGAAACATATTTGGTACAAGAAATTTTTAAAATGCTTCAATATAATAGTATAATAAGATCAATATAATTAGTATAATAATATCATAATAGTCAACTTTTGATTTTTTACAACATTCTGTTTTTCAATGTACCGTTTGATAAATATTAGAGAGGAATGAATATTTTAAAGTTTCTTTCAACTAACATAAAAATAAATTGCATTTCTTGTAATCAATATATACCGAATCATCCTGCATTTATGTTATGTAATCTATAGAAATGCAGTAGCAATTATACCTTCTTAACATGACTTGATAAGGTTGAAGTTATTAAACCAAGAATTTGGACAGGGAAAAATTTCTTAATATAGACTTTCCTCATTATAGACAGGAAAATAATACATTTACCAAAGAGGCTACGCTTCTTGCAGATGCTGCATGTGTCCAGTTAGCCACCTTTAAATTATATAGTTAGGCACAAATGAAGTATTTTCTATAGCTGCTGCGTTATATCATGATACAGAGAGCCAGTCTTAAGTGGGAAAAAGAAATTATGCTTCGATTTCAGTATATGCATCTATAAAACAGTACTCATTTGGAAACAAGAAAAGTTAGTTATTGAACAGAACTGTTTAATTTTGAAAATACATATTTTGGATTATTATTCTATACTGATAAACATGGCGTTGTAATACTTATTGTATTGGGTGAAGTATGTTGTCAAAAAATTTATTTTTGTGGAAAAACAATAATGATGAAGAAGTAGAAAATAATAATCAGAGATGGTAAGATGCTCTCACCTAAAAGTTCTGAAGCAGCTGTAGTATGGATACAGCGACATGTGACCAGGCACTAGGGCAGGGGTCGCCAAACTTTTTTTATCATCGCCCCCTATATAATTTTTCGAAATCTCCATAACCCCCCACAAAGGTAATTTTGAGGTAATTAAAATAAAAGTATAAATAAGTCTAAATATTTAATAAATCAGAAACAATAAGTAAAGTAGCTACAGATTTTTTACTTCTTAATGAGATGAGTGTGCCTGGTGTTTCTTGGCAAGGTTCGCTATATTGGGTTCGAAATTAGTCAAATTTAACCGTAAATCCCCTCGAAGCTCCACATTTAATGTATTTCTGTTTTTAGTTAAAATTGCATTAACGTGACTGAAACCGGCTTCAACCATATATGAACTTGGAAACGCCAGCATAAATGGCTGAGCCATTTCGTAAAGTTTCACATATTTTTGCTTTATATTTATATTAGTCCAAAATTTATGTATTGTCAAATTTTTAATAAGCGTTTTTGCTTCAAGATCGGACAATATTAATATTAAGTCAATTATAAAAATATTTAAAATTTTTATGTACGCAGTTAGATATGTGCGATTTGCGTATTAAGAACTGTTTTTCCTTCGAGTCCCAATAGACCCCCATTCGACCCCTTGGGTCAGATAGACCCCTAGGGGTCTATATAGACCACTTTGGCGACCCCTGCACTAGGGTGATTAGTTTTTCGTTTACAAAAAAAGTTTTGCCCAGATAACTTCTTTCATTTATTTTTTATTGCAAGTAAAATTACACCACCAGTTTACAATAGCATGAAATGTGTTTGCCCCATATACAGATGAAGACAACATGAAATTCTCGATAGAATACTTATAAAATTAGATTTTTATGATATCTTCATGATCAGATATATACAAAGTAGAACACTGTTACAGATATTTGATTATGGTATTGAGGATACAGGAAATTGCATATTAATTACCTTTATAATTAAAATTTATGAACTTTAAATTTTTAAGCTTTAAAATTTATGAACAGGAGTATCAAGTTAAATCTCTACAGCAAAACATACAAGTTATGAATACAACCTTCATAAAGAAAACAGATTTCTTACTGTATTTGTAAATAACCATATTATAAATTATGAAAGGTATCTATTTAACTGGTCATATAAAAACTACTAAAATGTTATGGATAGCAATATGCAGCAATACTGTATGGTCCATGCAGACCAGTTCAAGTGAAAAATATACTTAAACACAAAGCAATGTACAGAATAAGTTTATGCACCTTTTACTAAATTAAATACAGTGCATATTTTTAATACCTGATTTATGCTAAACTAAACTTCTAAAATGTCCACAGAAGTGTACAAAAATACCAAAACAATCGTTAGCAAATTACATAAGCTAAATGACATAATGTGACTGTGTATCTTACTGAACTTATTGAGTTTTCTACTTTTATCATTTCATTCAAATTATACTATTGTGAATGACTGACAATTAACTAAGAATACTGACCTATCAGATATAAAAACTGTGTTAGTATACTGATGGTCATTAAAATTGCTACACCAGGAAGGAAAGGAAATAGAATCTTGTTTATTGTGTATATACAGCATATGGAAGGAAGACATGATTCAATTTGCAGGTGGTTTGGAGTACACAGTAGGCAATTGGATACACAGTGCTGCCACTTTTGGCTGCAACCTGATTGGGCATCAAATCAAACTGAATCTCATAAGAAATAGACACTTCATTTCATGCAGTTTCAACTCCAACCAGAGTTCGTCAATTACATTGGCAAGTGCTAGTCTTCCGGTAACCCATGATCAGATATTTTTAGTGAGCGATAGATCTCGAAAATGTGAGGTTGAATGTGAAAATGTGATGTAACAATCAAACACCCTCTATATCGGGAAAGGTCAGGACAGCATGGGCAACATGCAGTTCAGCATTATCTTGCTGAAAGATAGTGTCGCAGAAGCCTGAAAGGTATGGCACAGTCACAGAACTTAACACGTCAGAAATGAATCATCCGCTATGCGAACAAGAGGACTGGGATGCGTACCCTATGGCACTTCATACAAGCATGCTAGGTGCTGGGCTCATAAGATAATGACAAATGCGAGCTTTCAACATTCACCTTGCTGCATCCAGACACAAATACGTCCATCATGATTCTGTATGCAGAACTGGACTTCATCTGGAAAGATAGCCTGGTGCCACTCTTGTATCCAGTGTCAGCGTTTGTTGCATCACTGTAGGTGAGCATGTCTCTGCTGCAGTGTAAAGGCAAGCCATAACAATAGTCGCCGTTCTGATGATCTGAGGTGTAGCAGGTGTCACCATACTGTCTGTGCAGACATTTGTCGCTCTGCATATGAGACAAGTTCCTGACTTAGTATATATGATGTATGATCGTGGAATGCCGAAAAAACAGTGAGTCTGTCCGCTTGGGCATTAGTGGCCTGAGATCCTGCATAGTGTTCAGTATGATCATCTTGGACCCATCCTTTCCACAATTGCCTGACAGTCACGAAATCATGTCTAACATGAACAGTAATGCCACAGAATGATAAACTGCAATCCCAACAGGCCATGATCCTGCCACAGTCAAGCACAATAGCAAGAGCATCACTGAACATGCTAGGAGGAGTTTCTCCATCTTACAAATGAAGCAAAAAATGACCTTTACACAAACTAATTAATATGCAATTCCAAAATGTGAAACTCACTATGCAATCTTCCCATTTACATAATGTAGATGACATTGCTTATATCTGCTTATGCGCATGCACTGGAATGCTAATCATTTGCATAGTCCAGATGTAATCCTTTGATGCCAAATTGACATTTGTTGCATGTTCCCTTTATGGTGTAGCAATTTTAGTGCCAGTAGAGTAGTTTGGGTTGATTTATAAACGACTAAACTGTACAATATTTTTTGAGATTTTTGAAATAGTAAAATAATCTGAAATTGCTTATAATTAATAAAAATAATATTTTTAAGCAATGAAATGTATTCAACAGGAAATCACAGAAAATAATCATATTTTTCAGAAATCAATAGAAATTTTTATAGTCTATAAATCTTTGATATTTAATATGTAAAAAGTGAAAAACTTAATTTATAGACATGTGTGGTTTGAAATGTAAAATTTATTAAAAATGAATGACATGTGAAGTATCAAATTTATTAAAAATGTGGAATTCAAAATTCCAACTAACATTAATAAAAGTAGTGTCAGAAAAATAGTGATTAAAAACAAAAGCACTGCATTGTTTCTACAAAAGAAGTAAAAATACATAATAATAAAGCCTAATTCCCTTAATGAATATTTTGGTACATATACGAAAGTTCCTCCCTTCCCCAAACATCAGTTTAATATTTTGTATATGTGCCACGGGAAAATATAACTGCAGAAATAATATTGTTGTCTTGTATGCATATTTGTTTGTAATCTATTGAATGCACAAAGAACTGAGGATACTTGATAAAATTTATTTTCCCCAAAAGAAACACTTTACATTTCTGGAACTTTCCACGAAATTACTTGTACAGCTCTTTTCAGTATCACAGAGCATAATCAGCAGTTACACTTCAAACCAATAAGAACATTAAATGCAATGTAAAATGAATTTAAAAGTAACTTTAAGTGACTTTACCGCTCGGCTGGTAGGTCTGAGTATGTAAAGGTCTGTAATATCAGCTGCATATGTCGTGTGATTGAGGTCACCACTTCCAAATCTGATGTTAACATTTTTCATTAATTTTATCACCAGATACGGTCTGGAATGTAACACAGTGTTCAGATGAATTTACCTATCTATTGTTGAGCCATATTGTTTCGGATGAAGGTAGCACTGGTTCCTGTATCGATAGTGATGTTGCAAAGAACTCCATTTATATGTCCCATGATGAAGACAGTATTATTGCCATTGCCGTAACTCATAAGAGAAATAGAAGTGCTTTAAAAGGAGCCTCTGCATATCTGGCAACCTATACTCCATGAGACGGCCACTAATTTGTTTCCTACCTCCTTCCTGGGGAGCAGTCTTAGCTCTCATGACTTTATGTGTTCTGCTGTTCCTTCAAACATGGCCTTCAGCACCACAGTTCCATCACTTCAGGGTCGGTTTGTTTCTGTTTCAAGATATTGACTTGTTTGGTTAAATCATCTACACGAGCAGCTAGTT